TTGTAAGATATTTATTTAACGTGCTAATAGTTAAAATATACACGTCAAATTCTGATATATTTAATTAATTTGTTATTAAATATCACATGACTATACAACTCAATACACGCATTTGAATATATTTTACTTTTTTGCTGATTAAAAAAAAATTACATAGTAAAACAAGAATTTAATAAAATTCATTATTATTATTATTATTATTATTATTATTCACTATATTATCATTATGATGCGAATCCGCCATATAGATATGAATCCGTATATCGAACGATCACTATCAGATAAAATTTTTTTTGATTATCTATCGGAGGTAGCGATAGTAACGGATGAATAAACAGATACGGATAAATTCCATTACTATAATGATAAATCATTATTATAGATTTTTGATTATTATTTTTTTTTAATTAAGAAATTTATAGATAAGATTAATCTGATTTTGAATCAGGTTAATTGATGTTTTTAGTATCTCCTTAAATTTAAACAAGGATCCCATGATAAATAGCCCAACTAATTTAGTAATTGGTTTTATTTTTTGGAATTATACAGGGTTTTTAGGCCTTAATTATAAAATTGGTTTAGGTTGTTATAAGATTAGTTAGGAATTATATAAATTTGGTTAGATAATTATCAATATAATTATCAATATAATTATCAATATAATTCTTGTTGATTTTAATGCAGTTATATATATATATATATATAATCATATCTTAACCAAATATATAAAGATGAATGATCATTGGATTTTTTGTTAGACATTAACTTTTTATTTATTCACTCAAGCAGGCAAAGCCGATGACCAACATAATCTCAGAAATATATATATATATATATTAAATCTATGATCATTGGGATCATTGGGATCATTGTGGGAGATTTTCAGCTTTAATATTGTATACTCGATACTATTATTCTTGGACAATGATAAACATTTAAAGATTTTCTTTGTCGAAGGGTTGTCTGTGTAAATTTCTCGTCATTATATAATAAGTACGTAATGTAATAATATTAGGTAATCTTTATTTCAAATTGTATTTACAGGAGGTACGAATCAATTGCATTTAACAATCCCAGAAATGGCACGTAAGGATTTTTATATAAGCAAGATATTAAGCAAATATTATTAAGAAGCCTGATGGATAATGGATTCTTAACGTAACTGGTGAAACATTCTATGAATTTTTTGGTTTCGAAAATGAAAAGGAACGGACCAAAATCATGATATATATATATATATTGATATATATATTATTGATATATATTGATATATATATATATGAATGTATGTACGTACAGAATTGGATGTGAATTAAGGTTTGAAGATTATGATAAATTAAGACTAAATTTGTTAAAAATGTCTCCATAAATTTCTCAGTTTTTGTAATACGACAGATCCTTAATACTAGTACATTCAACCTCAGGGGGGGAATACACAAAACTGACGCATTCAAGTAGATGCGCTAAACCTAAAATTTTTGTGACCAGATCAACTGACTGAGTGAATATTTTTTTATAAACAAAGAAATTAATTTTCAAAACGTGATAAAATTTTAAAGAAAAAACAAACCCTTTTAAGTGCACGGACTTATAAAGAAAATTTATTATCATGAAACAACAAAAGTTATCTTTCTAAAAGTTTCGTTTTTTTTTTTTTTGTAAAAAAATTTTTTTTTTTTTATATATACACATATTAATACGTATACTATAACAAATATTTGTTTTACTTATTAGTCAAATTTCCCGAAACTTTAAGTCATAGTTGACTATTTTGTGAGATATAACCGATACCCGTGTTATAATTAACAAGAATTCCAAAATAGTCCTGAAAGGAATATCGTATATAGAAGTATAGGACGCCCATTTATTGATTTACGTAGGACGGCGTTATCTGAACATCTTTAAAAAAAAACTTTATTGAAATATAACTTTAATGTAGATCAAGGTAAGAATATCAGTGATAAGAAAAAAAAAAAATACGATGGATTCCAGGATACTCGAGATGACCAATTGACAATGATTAGGCACCAATCCTTTATGCAGATTTCATGTTAATGTAAAAAGTTTCCACAAAAGGAATCTATAATCTTTTTGAAATTATATAAACACCATCTAATCTCAAGTAAAAAAAAAAAAAAAAAAGATTGTGGCCATTTCAATCGATAAAATTCGGCCGTTCTTTTTCTTAACGAAATTGTTATCTGAATAAATGGAATAAATGTGAACTTACAGATCCAAAAAAAAAATTTAACGAGGCGAAGTGAATTTGAAACGTTCTTTATGATCACGATCGAGCGAATTCACTTCTCGTCGATATTCGATCACATTTATTCATTGCCTTTGAACAAATTTCCGGTGCGTATACGAATCATTCAAAAATAATTGATTTGTTTGATGCACAAAATGAAGTTTAAATACGAAATTAAGTAACATTAGGCAAAAAAAAAAACTTCAAATTTAAAAAAAATAAAAACAAAAAAAAAAAAAAAAAAACAAAACCAAAAAAATTCTTTGATAGGTTTTATAATGAATAAAAGATAAGGTTGAAAACGAAATGGTCACACACCTTCGACTTTACGTACCCGTTAACGTCCAACTTTCTTTCGGATATCGAAAGATCACCACATTCACTAAAATGTATTAATTCGTTAATTATTAATTTCGATAATTATTAATTCGATGAGGAGAAATTGACACTCGCGTACACACATATATATATCGCATCCTTTTTTTTTTGTTATTCGAGATCATAAGGTCTTTTATCGCTGCACCGATAAACATTTTAAAATCAATACGATAAACAATCCGATAAATATCGAATGACCGGTTACAAGCCAGATAAATCAAGAGCCTATCTGGTAGTAAATGAGGTACTTTTAATTTAAAAAAAAAATCACCGATTAAGGTAGACATTTAAGTTTAGTAAATTTTTCTTAAGATTTAATGTTAAGAGACAGGAAATTTTCTATCACCTATTAATGTATGCTTCTTGTATGTATATTAAAAGATTTAATTTTTCGTGATCGTAATAATACTGAGAAGCAAATCTGTTTACATGTCGGCAAATTCTGTTTACATGTCGACTACATTTCCTAATCACCTAATATGAACAACCATTATAACATTTTGAATTTATGATGAATAATGTAAAGTTTATTCTTATGGATACGCACGTACATATATAAAATTGAGTTATTGTGTTCTTTTTTTCCTAACGCTAATTGATCTTTCACGTGATTTATTGTGATTGATTTATTTAAAGTTAGAAATTTTATCATAATAACGAAAAAAAAACAATTCACAACGATAGTCAAATATGACTGACCTTTTTTTTTTTTAGTTCTGTTAATTATTTCTTTAGTCTTAAGATCTTTTTTTCCTACTACTACAGTACTAATATTTGTTTTTTTATTATTAAATGTATGTAATTATTTTTCTTGAGATCAAAATAAAAATAGAAAAAACTAAATGATCATCATCATGATGAACTGATGTAATGACAGAACAGATAATCTTCCGGTTAGAATACTCCGGATAATCCGGACAATAGAAGACAAAATAGACATTATTATTCAATGAAGAAATTTAGAATTGGAAAAGTTTTCTCAACACAATAATACGAATACTTACCTTCATAGGATTTATATAATTACAATTACTTTTATATAATCGTAATTATTGAATTGAGTTGGACATTTGCTTTTGTTTCATTGGAAATTAACTAATCTAAATTAGGATCATAATGAGATTTGAAGCTTAACGATTGTGAACAAAATGACCAATTTGACCAATTGATCGAAAAAAAGATAGATACTCAAATAAGTTAGTGGCGTAGTATTACACATGATATGTAACTGAATGATGATAACTGAATGATGATAACTGAATAAATAGGTAATTAAAAGTACGGAGAAACCAGAATATTTCATTTTACAACTGTCACAACATACATTAAAAAATTTAAATAAATCTTTTTTTAATCATGGAACAAAATACGGAGCTTTGTTTCAATATATCAGATATTGATGTATATGTTTAAAAAAAAATATATAGTTTAAAACGTCCAGTAAAAGATAGATCAGCATAAGTTAATCTTGTAATACAACATAATCCAATAATTTAATTTTTTAATAATAAATTTCTTTTTGCATATATAATTTTTATAAGATTTTTTAATCCTTTAAATTAGAATACATTAGAATACATACGTGAAAAATAAGTATATATTTTTAGAAAAAATTATTCAAATGTTCAGTCAGGTGAAATTGTTTTTAGGCGGGAAACAAAAAAAAATGTCATCGCCGATATCGTTCCGATTCTATCATTCTGGAAAATTTAGAAACTATACTTAATGGATAACACAAACCCTGTAATTTATACTTGTGATGCAAGTATATAAATAAGAAGATCGGGGTATACACGATATCTTTTTTGAATAGAATAGATATCTTTTGAGTACATATCGATATATTTATATTTATAATTTATTTATACAACTCGAAGGGAAGGGAACGCCATTCTGAAATTGACGAATATTCCTTTTGTTTTCAACCAAAGAAGGCTTAGCGTAAAATTGAATCACATGCCCTGGCAGTTGTTTTATCGTATATAGCGATAGTATTTGATATTTATTATTTATGTATCTTTTTTATTTCTTATCGATTATTGACCAGCATCACAATTTTCATAATACCAAGTCATTTCATCATCCCATGACTTTTCATATATATATCACTATTTCCTATTCTTTTCTCTATTTGAACAAAGTCTTTTTTTTTTTTTTTTTTTTACAAAATATATAAAATATATAATTGATTTTTCTTTTTTTTCTTTTGTTTGTTTTTTGATTATCCTGTTGGATCATTAATTTATAAACGCAACGTTTTTCTATCCGTCAAACGAAACGCATCGTTTTTTTATTTTTTTCTCACACATATTCTAACACATAACACATACTTACATAAACAAACTTACACAGAATTGCACAAAAGTAAACAAAAATGCCAAAAGTCAATAGTAACAATTCTAATCGTGTTAAACGTCGTCAATCAATTTGTACAAGTACCCCTTCGTTCCGACCTTCATCTGATGACCAAACAACAGCCGAAATCTTGTCAGGTCTTACTGCTGAACATATTCCTTTACCTGATACACATTTCATTAAGCGAGTTTTGGAAAATTCACGTAGAGCTAAATCAAAGAAAAATGATCCTCCAAGACCTCCCAATGCATTTTTTTTATTTCGTAACGCACTTCATATTCATTTATCAACACATAATTTGAAAGTACCTCAAGTTTCAATGGCAGCAGGAAAATTATGGGATAATGCCACGGAAAAAACCAAGAGTCAATATACAAGATTGCAAGAAATTGCAAAAGTTTTACATTTGGAAATGCATCCTGGTTATGTTTATAGACCAAGAAAAAGTTTACCAGATAAAAAGGAAGATGATCAACGACAAAATCAAATAAATAAAAATTCTATTATTTCAGCTCAATATTCTCAAGAAATTAATATTTCACATCCATTATCATTATCGTCATCGTCGTCATCGTCATCATCATCACCATCTATCGTAAATTCGATACATTTACCACAACTTTCACCATCACATTCATCAATTTCATCTTTGGATTCTTCAACACCTTCGTCACCAAATAAATTATTATCTAAATTATCGAACCATGAAGAATCAACTTTGTCTTCTTCTAACATTGGATATAATAATCACTCTACCGAGCAACCTAATCAACCTAACCAACCTAACCAACCTAACCAACCTAACTTACATAATCAACACATTTCAGCACAAATACGCCATCATCATCATCCATTACTAACTCAACCATTTCAAACTACACATGTCATACATAACAACCTTAACAATAACCATTCATCCGTTCCCTCATTCACTCATGATGTTTCTAATCCATCTTATGCAAGAAACACGCGAAGGTCGTCACCAGTTCAAATCCCAATTAATAATAATCATCAATTACATTATATGAGATCTCAAATTCAATCTCAACCACAATTATTTGCTAATAATTTGTCACAACAACGACAACACCAGCAGCAACATCAACAACGACAGCAACAGCAACATCAACAACGACAGCACCAGCAGCAACATCAACAACGACAGCAACAACAACATCAACAACGACAGCAACAACAACATCAACAACGACAGCAACAGCAACATCAACAGCAGCGGCAACATCATCAACAGCAACAGCAACGCGTTTCAAGTTTAAATGTAATAGGTCAACCTTCCATTTTTAATCATACCTTGCAAATAATTGATCCTACGTTAATAACTACATCAGCTCCTACTTTAACATCATCTAATGTTAATCTATTTAATGAATCCTCAAATGGAAGTAACGGTTTTGTTACTGGATTAGGAATCCAAGATATGTCTAATTTTATGTCTTTGGGGTTATGTGATCAGGATGATGGTTCTTTCAATGAGTGGATCAATTGGGACATCAAATATTAACGTTAATGAATCTATCAAAAGAATTTGTTAGACCCCATTATTTTACATAAGTTTATTCTTTTTTTTTCATTTGATAAATGTATAATCATATCTTTATTTGGTAAGATTTAAAAATTACGCGTGAATAACAATTTTTTAACTTTCATTCCTTTGTTTATTTTAAAAACTCTGTTAATATCCATTTTTGTCAAACAATATTTTTTGTTTGATGCCATTGTAAAACTTTAATGGGTTATCGAAGTGGTGAAAATTTTTTTCTATATATATACTTATATACATATACTTATATACACATGTGGTTTTATATGCGCATCAGTTTTTTTTTTCATTCAAGTATCAATTTTTTATTTTTATTTTTATTTTTTTTTGTAATTAGTTTTCATACTGTAGCATTCTAAAATAAATCAATAAAAAAAAAATAAATCAATAAATAAAGATAAATCAATAAATTTATGAATAAATAAATTTATGGTTAACAGTCTTAAATAACTCGATTTTTAAATAACTCGTTTTTTTTGTAAAAAAAAAAAAAAAAATTATATGTAATACTTTTTATCCTATATGTATTAAAACTAATTTAGTTCAATTTACGCTTTTTTTAATACGTACTGATTAATAAATTAATACTGATTAATACTGTAATAAATAATATCTTTATATGTACGTACAATCATGTTAATCAGTTAAAATCATCCAATCAATCTATTAAAGTCGACTACTGTTCTCAAATTCCTTTTAAAGAAATATATAATTACGCATAAGGTCAATCATCTTCATCTACGTATCATGATATAAAATGGCAAAACTCATTTTGTTGTTGTGGTGATTAGTTCTACGTATGCCATGGTTTTAAAAATCTCTAATAAATTTATACGTATGTCTAATTCTTTTGAAAAAAAAACTTTAACCAATTGGGAATTATATGAAAGTTCTCTTTATCTATTATACTTTTAAATCATTATAATTCTCACGTCTTATGTAGAGTTCCATTTTCTCAAGCACAGATGTACTTGCATACGATATATGTACATATGTGTAAACGTATGTATGTACGTATGTAAGGATTCTTACATTTGGTATCCTTATATTTGTACAATGATATTTTTCTTATATTCTTATAACAACGATGCTCCCATAAAAAAATGCATATTTTAAGTGGATACTTATTGTAATTTAAGAAATTAGTTCATCTATCTAATACGTATAAAAAATTAGTTCATCTATCTAATACGTATAAAAAATTTGTTCACACATTACTTTTTTCATTTAAATGTTATGTTAAAAACCACATGAAGTAGTCTATGTGACATGAATGACAGAATGACATAAAGTAATTTTACGTAAAGTTATTACTTTCAGGAAAAAAAAAAGAATGCATATTGTGTCAATGCATATAGTATGATTAACCTTGTATAATTAACTTTAATAAGTAAATTAACGCAAGTCAAAAATGCTTTACGTCGACTATCCATTTAGATCCATCAGTCTTTTGACATTTAATTTTTTTTACTACAAAGAATCTTTCCAGCTCCATATAATTTATGTTCTGTATTACGTATGTACGTACTGTACGTACGTACGTACGTATCGTCTACGTAACTATCAAGATTAGCATCGTGCGATCATTGATGATGTTTTTTTTAAGAGTATATTTCTATTTTAGTAGTAATAGTGTTCAATTAATCCATTTACTGCTTTTTGCAGATTCTAAATAAATCTTTATATAATCAATACATGGATATAATTTAACTATTCGTATGTAATTCATATCATATACTATATTTACGTACATACGTACGTGCATAGTTGTTAAAAATTGTGTGGTATTCAATTTACATCGATTGCATAACGAATTTTAATTCAATTAAATCCTTTTCAGAAATTGGAAAAAAATTTTTCTCTAAAATTGTTTATATATGGTTAAGTCTGAAATAACGATCTGATACGTATATAATAAGCTATAACAATTTTTAATTATTCTTAGCCAAAATTTTTCTATAAATTTTTATTATGTAATTGTATTATTATATCAAATTGTTCGAGTCTTTTATAGTTAGAATTTTGTATTCAACACAGATGTTTGATAAATATATATATATGGAGCAAGTCAAAAGAAATTAAGAGGTAAATTGCAGTTAAAAGGTAAAAAAAAATTGCCGGAAGTTAATATGGGTTTTCTATAGAGTTGGAATGCAGCTAGCTTACAATGAAACCTTTTTTAATGCCAAAGTAAACCTTTTTTGAGTTTCTAACAAAGATTATAAAACAAGTTATTCCGGTTCTAATAGTAACAGAATTATTCAAATTGGTTTCAAAATCGTGAACTATTGGCATTTACTTCTTTATAACTATATAGAATTATCCTAGAACTTCAGCAAATATATATTTTGTTACAAGTTGATCATTGTTATTAACTTGAAACATATTACATTCTTTATCATAGGTTTTTTTAAGATAGCAAATGGTAATTATACTAGTTGTAAAATATGAATAATGTAAGAGAAAAACATATAAAAAACAACATTGTTCTTATAACAAAAGTTAACACTGATGTAATTAACATAATTCTTGCAATTATTTAAAATTAATAAAATAAAATATACAGAAAAAATAGAATTAACAAAATGTTTAATGTATTTAAAATAAACTTACTTACATATATTTTATCTTAGTAAATTCTATAATAAAACTGCATTTTTAGGTTAGTAATTAAGTGAATTCAATAAAAATTGTTTATAAAACAGTTATACTATATAAACTTACAATAATCAAATATTTATGACTTAAAACAACTCTTTCTGACAATCATCTGAACCAAACTTTTCAAAAAGTTGAACTATAGAAAATGATATAATTAATATATTAAACTTTATAAAAACCTTTCTGGAGTACTGTACATGCATTGTTGGACATTGAATAGAGTTAAAAAAGAGTCACAGCCTTGTGATGATGGTTTAAAGAGCACTCTAAAACTATAGAAGAAGTAGTTAGTGAAAGTCAAAGTTTCTTATTAAGTAAATAACAAAGTTGAATATATTAGTTCTATACAACTGTAAAACCTACAAGGAACATTTACAAAGGTTAAGAACTCACAAAAATTAAAAGTTGATTCATCTAACATTTTTACTTTTTCTTTAAAGAAATTTTGTAAAAGTAGATGATTTAGTTTACCCTTTTCTAAAGATTGATATATAAAATCATTAAAACAGTTAGCAATATTTACTTTCTAAATAGAATTATTTATAATATAGATCAAAAATAATACAACAATACAAATATAACTACATGTGTCTCAAGCTACTAAAAACTTGTCAAACACTACCTCTGGACTAATCAGTATTTTATACTAATCTTCTATGATAAAGTCAAAGTTTTTTTTCTCTTTTTTGGTTTTTTGTTTAAATAATCTAAGTAAATAAGAAGATAGTAGAGTAATTTTTATTTAGTATAATTTATAATTTTTATAAGCTTGACACAGGCTTATAATTGTGATTGTTAGATATTTGTAAATTACAAGTTTCATACCTAACACAGATTTAAAATTATGACTATATAATTTTGTAAATTGCAAGTTTCACACTTTCCTTTTTTCTTCATCCTTTTACTTCTTGTTTTATATCTTTTATCATTTATTTCTATACCTCTGTTTTTTTTTATATATAAAATCTTTTTTTTGTTTTTTTGCTTCCTTATGAAAAGACATTATCAGATTAGTAGTATCCTATTGTAGAATGGCAGTCAGACAAGCAATCTATCTCTGTTTAAAGTAGTATGGCAGGTCACATATAGGTACCAATAAGATGACTAGATAATGCTAGACTTAAGTATTAGGAATATTCTTTGTAATCTGTATAGTATCAAGAATTCTAATAAACTACTAACATGACTGCTTAAGTTAAAAAAAATATATATATTTATAGCTTATTTTTTATTATTATCTAGAATGTTCAGACTTGTGCAATCACACTTTAGATATATAATATGTATAGTAAATTTATCATTTTTAATATACTTAATGTGATATTTATGCAAATAACAATATTGCTTAATATCAACATAATAAAACAAATGCATATAATATACACATATTTAATTTAAATATGATATACAATTATTAAACAATTACAAATAATGCAGTATATTTATTTAACAATTATAAATAGCATTATCTAATAATTATAAAAGACATATTAATTTCTATTCAACTATTTTCTAGTATCTAATACTATTTGTTTTTAAATTGCAATTGTTTATATTAATATTAGCATTAGAATTAAAAAAACAGTTAAAATTTTTGATTGGTTTGTTTAATAATAAGAAAACTAAAAATTACAACCTTTGAATATGTAAATTCTAATATTTACAAAACTAATTTCTATAAATTAAATGATTAAATGTTTTGTATTGCTTGTAAACATATCATTAATCATACCAAAAAGTCTATAATTGATTCTTACTTTGATTCACAATTATATAAAAAAATGTTTTACTAAAACTTTATCTAATAATATTAATAATTTAAAAAAGTAAGACATTAATTTGACATTAGTTAAAGCATTTGTTAAAACAGATATTCTATTAAAAAAAATAAACAAATTACAAAATTTTTTACAAGATTATTGCATTAAAGATAAATAAATTAAATTAAATTTTTTAGCAATTTATAAATTAATATTACTTATATTTTAAATCAATTATAAGCAGAATTGTAAGTGCAAATAAATTATATAAATATTATTTCTTATAAGTTTTTTAGAATGAAATTAACAAATTAAAAAGAATTATTAAAAATTAATATATTTTTAATTACAATTGATAAAACTATTAACATATGTAAATATAGCATTGTTAATATATTATTCAATTATTAAAGCTAAACAAAATTAATAAAAACAGATTATTTAGATACTATTAATCATTTTACAATTTCTTAATTAATTATATTTGTAATAAGTTTTTATAATATTTTATATTAAAATATAATTTTTTTTATTAATAAT